ATTCATCATGCTTAAACTAAATTGTTATAGGCCTTGGAAAATTTGTAATTAATATATTTAGATTTTAATAAGGATTTGAATGATCTCAAATAATTAGTTAAGGATAAAAGTATAAAATATAAAAATATAAAGTGTGATTGTGTAAATATTAAATCTCTCACTCTATACTTGTAATGTTAGCCAAATTGAGGGGGTGCATTTGCCCCCCTTAACTAGACGTGGCTCGTGGTGCACACGTATGAATAAAAAGTTAATTTTCTTAAGGATATGAACATTCATCTTTTACTCTCAATGTATAGCATTGCTAGTATTCCCGTGACCAAATGGTATGAAAACTTCTTTATAACTCAAGGGTCACAAATTTCATCTGCCTGTATGATTTCAAGTTGATGGTATTTGTCACTCTAGATAAAAAGGGGAAAAAGGATAGCGTATGATTCAATTATTAAAGGCTAGTTGACTATAATTTAATAGCATTCAATTTGGGGCCATCCGTGGACCTTTACCATCACCATAAAGCTAAGGGCCTTATTATGTGATGCGTAGCAATTGTAGCGGTTGGGTTCCAGTACTCCCTCATCGCAATTTAAAAATATGTTTGAAAAAACTATATATATTTATAAAATTTATTAAATACAGTTTACAATCTTAATTATATATAAATTTTTAAAAATATTTTTCATTAATTACAAAAAGGGAGAGAGAAAAAAAATTTATTTAAAGCATGGAATAAGGAGGGAATGATTTTTTTTCCAAAACATCTTATATTTCGGGATACCAAATCATCTCAAAAATATCTTATAAAATAAGATAGAGGGATGCAAAGAGTGGAAGAATAGAGAAATTATCCATTAAAGTATCTTATAAAACTTAATTCCAGTTGTTGTGGGATATAAATTTATTTTGCTCATGCTGATGGGTGGCCAACTCTAGTGTGTGTGTTGTGTTGGAATTTTCCTTTGAAAAAAGGGAATTGCAATTAGATCTTTGATTAAGCAATGTAGGATTAGAATTCATCTAATTTGCACTTGAAATAAACATATATTCAATGGCTCTAGATAATCTTTGTAAGGTTTGTGCTTGTTTGAGTCTTGACTTTGTAGATGAGATATTATAGCATTGTGTTAGGTTATGGGTTTTTGTGGACCGAAAGACATTTAAATTTAATTGAAAGCCTTGATTTTAAAGTTGAATTAAACTAGATAATTAGGAGAAATTGATTTGTAAAGTATAAAGAGGATTATAATTCCTAGGGTATGTGTTAACTTAATTGCTTGTCTTCCCTCGAAGTTAGTTGTATTAATTTTGTTTGTATTTGATTTGAATTCACAAAAATTTCACTTTTTGATTGATTAGTTTAAATAAGATGAAAATAGATTTCATTTATACCCAATTCTTTTACTTTAACTTGTAGAATGATCTTGATTTCACTATACTACGTAGAATTGGTATACTTCTTCAATTTTGTGGGCACCAGAGGGGCTGTGCAAATGGGTTACAAGAAGTTGCATCTAATAGTTATAACAGCCTTGATAGCTAGTTAATTCAACCATATAAACATAAAAGATGATATGTGTATATATATATATATATATGTATATAAAGGTATGCACCAGTGCTGGAGGACGACTTTTGGTGTTGCATGTTAGAAATTACACTATAAAAATATCATTTTTGACGGTGATTTTTAGCGTAGTTGTCACTAAAAGTTCACTTTTGGTGGCGATAAATTAAAGTCGCTATCAACAGTCCATTTTGACACTGCTAAAGGTCACCACCAAAATTATACTTTTGAAAGCAATAATTAAATGTCACTGTCAAAAGTAGACTTTTGATAGTGACTTTAATTATTTAAGTGTTTGGCCTTTATTACATGAAGGTTTTAAGATAGGTGCATGAAGGAGTGTGTGGGGCCCATCAGTTAGGATCAAAAATGCAATGGATGGTGCGCAGATAAGGATATTATTAGCCATCAATAGCAAAAGATTGCATTGAATATGTTAAAAGATGCAAGAAATGCTAGACTCACGGCCAGCACAATAGATACCAACATCAGACATGCATCCTATCGTTACATAATAGGAAAGATTTATTAAGCCTCATCCAAGAGCCACTTATTCATTTTAGTGGTCACAGATTATTTCACAAAATAGATAGAGTCTATTCCTATAAAAAAGTAGAGTAGGATGATGTTATTAATTTCATACGTGAGCAAATTGTATTTCGATTTGGGATACCCAAATGATCACAACAGACTAAGGGACCATGTTCATCGAAACCTACTTCAAAGCCTTTGATGAGGAAAGTGGGATCAAATTATTAACATCTTCGCCACTTACCCTCAGGCAAATAAGTAGGTCGAAACTTTTAATAAAATAATCTTTAAAATTCTAAAAAAGACAATTGAGAAAAAACCTAGGGAATGGCATGTACGACTTTATAAGACACTATAGGCATATCGAACATCCAAGAGAGAGGCCATGGGCAAAAGCCCTTATGTATTGATATATGGGCATGAGGCCATATTACCTATGAAAATAACAGTCTCTTCACTATGCATTGCTAACAGTTTAGGAAGACCTTCCAAAGATTATAATAAAGCCATAATGAATGAACTAATTCATGTGGATGAAAGTGTCAAGTTTTTAGAATTATAAATTGAATAATTAACCATGTTAATTTTTAGTATTAATGTATAATAAAATTACAAATCTTTATTACATTTGCTAAAATTACAAATTAACAAATACAAATAACTAGAGATCAAGTTTTTAGCATTATAGATCAATTTATATTATTTAAAATATTTATTACACTTTTTAAATATTTTAGATATATTATATTTGTATAATAAAAATTAAAAATTATCATAAATCAATATTTTTTTGATAATTGTACACTCAGAAGCTTATTTTACTATCATAATCTAAACAACTTTCAGAATAACAAACTAGCTTTTGAAAAAATATATCTCAACACAAATTTTATTACAACACCTGACTTTCATGAAATAAACTTTTGATAAACTGAAAACCAAAACACACTTAAAGTGAAAAGATTATTTTACCTTTAGTGAAAATAAAAATTAAAGCTCTACTCACAACTTTTACTTAAAGAATAATAATTTTTATTCTGTGAATCACAAGAGTTGAATAATAAATAACAACTTGTCAAGTGTAATTTTTGGTATTGAAAAACAAACCCTGATTATAACTTTTGCTTAAGGAATAATAACTTTTATTATGTAAATTACAAGAGTTGAATAATAAATCACAACTTATTAATTATAATTTTTGTTATTAAAAAATAAGTTTTAAAATAAGAAACCCCAATTACAACTTTTGTTTAAGGAATAACAACTTTTATTTAATGAATCGCGAGAATTAAATAATAAATTATAATTTATCAATAGATAAAATAGTCTTTTTAATTTAAAATTATTAACACAGAAGTTCTTAGAGACTTCTATAAAATTATAGCATTTCAAATAACTAAATTATTATTTATATAATTTGGGGTGATTTTATTGTCATTCCCAAAACTATAAGGATCTACAAATTAATTTTTTCCATATTTTTTAAAAGGGACATAATGGCGTTGTAGCACTGGGTTTCTGGTAAATTGTAAATTTGTAATAATTTTTTTGTATAAAATGATATACTCTTATACCAAAAATAAAATAAAATAAAATGATATAGCCATTAATTCAAAAAATGTGACAGCATTGAGGTTGGTTTGGAAATAAAGGTGCTATAAGATTGAGAATGACTTGATTGAATGGGTCTAGGACTGGGTGAAAGGATTGTATAGTATATTATTGTAGGAAGCAACGCAGATTCTTAATTAGCAAAGAAAAAGCTATGATTTGCAGCTCGTTTACCATGTAAATTTAAAAATGGGTATTTCAAATTTTTAATTCAGCTCTTTCAGGCTAGAAATTTTTTTTAAAAAGCTCAGATTTGCAAAAAATTGTAGTTCCAGTTCCATTAGGGTACTCAAAGAAAGCATTGTTTATTGTAGTTAATGTGCAACATAAGATTGAAAAAACCTCATTAATCACATGTTGAAATATTAAAACTGTATTATATTTTTTATCATATAATTTAAAAAAATGCCTATATTTTTTAAAGAAGAGAGTATTTGAAAGACTTCAAATTTTAGAAATTTCATAAAATATATAAGGACCAATTTAGGCGCCAAATTTTTGGGCGCGTTTCCTTCCAAATATTTGAAATTTAATGCTTTTTAAATATCATCTGACAAAATCTTTTATATTTAATTAAATTAAATAGTTGTTACCGTATCATCTGATGAAACGAGTGAATTTAGGTGTCCAATTCATTTATTTGCCCTAGTTAATGTCCAACCCGTAAGGCTGAGACTTGAAAGACGTCCACAATGGGGTCCACTTGGTTGTTATGAAATAAATTCTGTGTCCGAGGACCGAGGATACTTCCAGGTCAATGGATCTTCGATGTCAAGCTGAGCCCTGCAGCTAGCGTCCTTCTCTGTTTCTGTATAAAACTACCATTTCAGCCTGCAATTTGCAAACAACTAATCGTTCTATCCATAAAATTAATTATACCCAACATACTTCGACTCTATAATTCCTGCACGATCATGTCCATCATTTCTTTGATTCTTCTTTCGTCTTTCCCTTCCCATCTTCTCAGCCTCACCGCCCAGAAGCCTTTCGTATATTACAAGTGCTTCAATGACCAAGCAAACTACACAGGTACAAGTGCCTACCACACCAACCTCAACATCCTTCTCTCTAATTTCACTTCCTACACAAAAGTCGACTATGGCTTGTCACTTCCTCTTATGGCCAAGACCCTGACATGGCTCTCGCAGTTGGACTCTGCAGAGGAGATGTGAAGCCTGAAACTTGCCGTGGTTGCATCAGCAAAGCCACAATCCTTCTCCCAAAGCTGTGTCCAAATCAAAAGGAGGCATTTGGATACTATGACTAGTGCGTTTTTCGATACTCAAATCCTTCCATGTATGGGATATACCAATACCCTGACTTCTACAACGCCTTTGGAAACCCAGAAGAAGTTGCAGCAGATCAAAATAAGTACAAAAATGCGCTTGATCGTCTAATGCTAAATCTGAAAAGCATAGCTGGTGATTCTCATCGTAAGTTGGCTGTGGGAAATGCAACAATTGATAAGTCTCGAACTGTTGTTTATGGTCTTGCTCAGTGCATGCTTGATTTGTCCAAGGAAGATTGCGACGCTTGCTTACTGAAGGCTGTCTCGGATATATCAGTATGTTGTCAGGATAAGGTTGGCGGTAGAGTTATCAAATTCAGCTGCAATATAAGATTTGACCATTCCTTTTCTATGATCCTACAGCTATTGATTCATCAATACAATTATCATTGCCCACCAATGCTGTTCTTGCTCTATCTACCAATGCAACTTCCTCACAAGGTATTTCTCAACTTTATTATATATACTGCATGGAGCTTATCTGATTCTCAACAGAGTTACATCTTTCGAAAATTGATTTAGACTCCCAATTAGGTTCTTCTCATGTGGCGTTTTTGACATAGAGAGCTTACAAATGTGAGTCCACATTTGAGGGATGTGAGCGAAGTTGAGGCAATATCTGATATCCTATTTCGGATAGAATTAGATTTAATAGCTAATATATATATATATATATATAATGAATAACTAACATGCAAAATTTGTAACTGTCATTAACAGTATAACACTATTATAAATTTGTAACTCTTGTTTCATCTATGTTAGTTATTTATTTTTCATATATTAATTATTTATTTTTTTATACGAGTTATTCATACCCTTAGTTTTACTAAGAATAATAAAGTTATTCAACTTATCTTTTTAATTTCATTTCAGTCCTCCAAATGTACAATGAAATTTCAGAACTTTGAGGGTTGACTAAAATTATGTTGGGTTAAGGGGAGTTGACTGAAATTTTCCCATGAAAAAATTGATTTTTAAATTGTTTCTCTTTCCAATAAATGGGCTAGAATAAAACACAACACTAAAATTGATTTCCTTTTTTTTTTTTAAAGAAGAAAAAGGTACAAAACTTTGAAATGCTAAAGTAGTTTTGTCCCATTTAATCCATGCCATCACCATAAACTATCTTGTGCTCTTAATAACATAATTAAGTGACGCATTTGCTTGGTGTCATGCGTAATCAGGAGAAAGAGGAAGCACTGGCTTATCACTAATTGTTGTCAAGATTATTGTCCCCATTATCATTTCAATGATCCTTTCTTGTTTGGTGGGTTGCTATTTGCTAAGGAGGAAAACAAGGAAGAGCAGCCAGTCTATTTTCAAAGAGAACTGTAATCTATATTGTTTGTCCAGTTTTAAACTAAATAATGTTTATTTCTGATCATAGCATGCTTACATTGATATTGGCATATACTGAACTAGTTGGAGAAGAGAGTTCAAACATGAAATCCTTGCAATTTAGCTTGGCAACAATTGAAGCCGCAACAAATAAGTTTTCTGAAGCAAACAAAATAGGAAAAGGAGGATTTAGAGAAGTTTTCAAGGTAACATGCTAAACTTAACTACAAAAACTAATTATATAACTGCCTAATAATTTGATTAAGCATTTTAGGGTATTCTTCCGGATGGATGAGAAATTGCTATCAAGAGGCTCTCAAAAAGTTCCATGCAAGAAACATTAGAATTTACGAATGAAATTTTGCTTACAGCCAAACTCCAACATAGAAATTTGGTGATGTTGTTGGGATTTTGCTTGGAAGGACAAGAAAAAATTCTTATTTGCGAATATGTGCCTAACAAGAGCATTGATTTCTTCTTATTCGGTATAAAACTTCTAACATTGTTTTCATGTTGTGGTTAAATCTCTATGCACATCATTTATATGAATTTTTCCTACTAATTTGTTGCTTCTATTTATTTTAATAATTATTTAACTATTAATTATATAGATTTTGAGAAAGAAAGATTACTCAATTGGTTTGAGTGTTTCATAATTATTGGAGGAATTGCACAAAGACTTTCTTACTTGCATGAACATTTTCGGCTTAAAGTTACTCATTGTGACTTTAAACCTAGCAATGTTTTATTGGATAACAAGATGAATTTAAAAATATCATATTTTGGTTTGGCAAGAATTATTGCTATAGATGGAGCCCATGGGAGCACAAATAGAATTGTCGGTACATAGTAAGTCATGATACCCCTCCTTCCTAGCTTGCTATATATGAGAAACAAAAGGAGATTCTATGTATTTTGTACGTGAGCATTGCTTCATATGTCCTATTTATTACCATTATGAGTTTTTTATATTCCCCCATTCATTGGTAAGCTGACCTTTTTGAATGTTTTTGATTTTATACCAAGTCTGACAGCCTTTTGTTTTCAATTTTGTAGTGATTATATGGCTCTCAAATATTTAATGTATGGACAATTTTTTAAAAATTTGATGTGTTTAGTTTTGAAGTTATAATTTTAGAAGTGCTAAGTGGAAAGAGGAATGCCACAACATATGATACATATCTCTTAACCAATGTAAGTATATTATTTGTGTTGTTCCTTTTATAATCATATTGCCGATCATATCTGTCTGATGCAAATTGATATGGTAAGGTGAAAATCAAAGAGTATGAACTTGATAAGTATCTAATTGTTTGAGAAATTATTTCAGGTGTGGAAGTTGTGGAATGAGGGAAAACCATTGCAAGTATTGGACCCTTATGTGATGGAATCTTGTTGTGAAATTGAAGCAATGAAGTGCGTGCAGATTGGGTTATCATCTGTTCAGAAAAATCCAGAAGATCGTCCAACAATGACACAAGTTGTTTCATATGTAAGTAATCTTTCCATTAAATTATCGTCTCCCAAAGAACCGCCATTCTTAATTCATTTAAAGCCAACGATGTTGACAGAATTATCTGATTCCAATCAAACTTTTCAAAGATCCAATGCAGCCTCAAATGAAATATGTATCACTGAGATCTTGCTCCGATGAAATTAGATTTATCTTTTGCTATTTTTAATAACAAATAGGCTTTGCCAATAGCAGATTGAGGGTAAAAGCATAAACCTCTCCTAAGTTGAGACATATACAAGGGCAAATGGTGGATATTCGTCTTTTTCCGTATTCACATACATTCATTTATGTAATTGATGGAATGAAAAATACTCACTATCACAGTATCACTTGTATGGTGCAAGTGCACCCCCACGTGACACGTCCACGCCACCTCGGCACCTCCAATTTTCTTTTGCCAAAATTTTTCCACCAAGTTGGCCCATATTGCTTAAAAGTTTTGGGCTTGGCCTCCAAAAATATGTGGTCTATCTTTTTTATTATGGAGAACAGGTCTTGCTTTGTTCTTGTTGGGTCAAATTTTGGTCTGGACTTTTATTTCAGCATTGAATTGACCAAAGTGGGGTCATTTATTTATTATATTATTTCATTTTGTTCTGAATAATAAACTATGATTACAATGTAAAACATAATTGGATTTTCTCCTTTTCCCTCATGATCTCTTCTTCCTCGTCTCTTCCCATCACCAATGTTAGATTAAAATTTCAATGATTGAGATTTAATATATTACAAAGCTATTATTATATTTTTACATCAAAAATTACATAAAAATTTGATATGGACAGTTTAAAATTGTAGTAAAACAATTGAAAAATATTTTAATAACATCTTACATTTTATACTGTTTATATCAAATTTTAACAGCATAAAATTTAGTAATGTATTTTTATAAAACAATAATAATAATTTAAAAATACTAAATCTCAATCATTAAAACTTTAATTCATTAATAGTAGAAAAGCGAAAAGAAGAGGAATAGAAGGGACATAGAAAATGAGAGGAAGAAGAGTAACTGGGAAAAGGAGAGGATCATCTGTGCTGATGGGGTATATGAGGGAGATAATTATCAAAGCAAAAGTGAAAAATACTCCCTCCATTTCTATATATAAGGAAAAAAAATTGCATCATATAATTTAAAAAAATTGATTTATCATAATAATTATACCTGAAAATAAAGAAATTGAATTAAAATGCCCTATGTTAATTAATATAAGCATTTATTATATAAAAAAACAAGTAAATATGCTTATTAAAAGATATAATTTTGTTTATATAAATAAGTAAAAAGTAATAGCTTCTTTTATATATAAATAAAAGCAGAGGGAGCATTAAAGATGAACTTTGAACGCTACCACAGAAATTTTGAGGCTAGTCTGTCTGTGTTCGACCAAATTTGTTTCAGTCACAGTCAATGACTTAGTTCCTTCCTAGAAACTGCTCTATTACTTTTGTTTTTCTCCAGTTCAATGAATACCCTTTTTCCCTAAAAAAAAAAAAACAACGTTAGATACCATGAACCATTGTCAATAAAGTACTCTCGCTCGTTTTTACCCCAAAAAAAAAAAACACAAATAAATAAATTAAGGTACTCTAACGGGTGTTGGGAACAACGATCATAACTCGATCTCTAAAAATAGTCCTCAGTGCTCGGATCTATCATTCCTTGATGACGATGTCCATCATCTATTTTGCTGTGCTGGTTTCTTTCCTTTCTCGTTTCATCTTTGTCACAGCCCAGTCTGACTTCATTTATCACATCTGCTCCAATGGCACAGGAAACAATACAAAAGCAAGCACCTACCACACCGACCTGAATGCCCTTCTTCTTAATTTCGCTTCTAACACAACAATTGACTATGGCTTCTACACTTCCTCTTACGGCCATGACCCTGACAAAGTTAACGCGTACACTTCCTCTTACGGCCATGACCCTGTCAAAGTTAACGCGCTCGGACTCTGCAGAGGAGATGTGAAGCCAGATCCTTGCCGCAGTTGCCACAGAAGCCACACCCTCTCTCCATTGTCCAGAAAAGAAGGCGACATTTGGATTTTCTGACTGTTGCATGTTACGATACTCAGACTGTTCAATATTTACGAAATACAAAAACGTTTATGGTGGGCAAAAGAAATGCAGGCACTGTCGGTATGGATCAAGATGTGTGGCTGTTATTGAATAGGTTAATTAACGAAGCAGCGACGGGTGACTTCTGTCGTAGGCACGCAGCAAGTGATGACGCTATCACCGGATTTGGGAGTGTGTATGCTATTGTTCAGTGTACTCCTGATTTGTCCAAGAATGATTGTAACTAGTGCTTGCTGAAGGCTTTCCAAGGAATCCCACGATGGTTATTATAAGGGAAGGCCATTCATCCTGGTTGCAATATGAGGTATGAGCTCTACCGCTTTTATTACACTTCGGAACCTACCCACTTAACCGCCACCAGAGACCAGAGGTATACATGATCCTCAGGCCTCAGCCAACATATACTCATCTCTCTTATTCATCAACTATCATATATTTGGGTTAGGACTTGGGAGTAATTACACTTTTTTTTATTTTATATTAATTATTAAATCTAACTTTATTTAATATAGAATTTTTTATTGTAATCTGGGCCTCTCTTTTAATTTAAAATTTTAAGACTTAAGTTTATGAGTCTTCTATTTTTATTTTATATTATTAGCAATTAAACTCAATTTTTTCACTTCCCATATCCTTTGCAATATGAGAGGGCCCTTTTTTTTTTTTTTTAAGGAACGGAAGTACAAAGCAAGAGGATTAAACTTGAGTCAAAACAGAGCCTAAGAATAGATGTCCACTAAAGTCGCCTCTAGGAACGGGGAGGAGAGATTTGGGTGAGATTCTGTGAGTTCATGAAACTCCAAGCTGCAGGCTGAGAGAGCATGATTGGCTAGGTGGTCAACACTACGATTAGTCTCCCCCTGTAGGAGTGATCAATAATAACTTGCCATTTTTGACTCAGAAACTTCCTGATGCTTCTGATTAGTCTTGCGTGAGGACAAGGACTAAAGTTATCATACCGTAATATCTGGATTATACAAACGGGGGAATCAAATCTACAAGTTGACAAATCATGCTTCAACCAGCAGTGAAAGCTGTTACATATTACAATTAGATGAAATTACGGCATGTGTGTGTGTACACTTAGCTCTTCCTTTACGGTGGAAGGGAGCCAGTTTTTTTAAATTTAATGTACCTACATGCGCGCGCGCGCGCGCACTGTTTGAAAATTTTATATTTATCTACTTATCCAAACGCAATACAAGGAAGGACATGCAATGTAAAATTGGTTTTTTTTTTTTTCAAGGAAAAAAAAACTTGAAATGCTAAATTGTTTGTTTCTCTTGTGTGTTATCACATGAACTATAACCTCTGCTCTTAATGATACATATAAATGACACATTCGCTTGGTTTTTTGTAATCAGGAAAAGGAGATGGTGCCGCAAAACAAATTGTTGTCAAAATTATTGTTTCAACTTTCAATGACACTCTTTTGTTTAGCCGTGGGTTACTATCTGATAAGGAGAAAAACAAGAAAGAGTAGCTAGGCTATTCTTAGAGAAAATTGTAATATCTATATATATCACTAGTTCACTTTTAAATTTAAAAGAATGCATGCTTGCTTTAATTATATAGCATGCACTTAGCTTTGATATTAACACGTATTGGTCCAGTTGGGGAAGAAAGCTCCAACCTGAGGTCCCTCCAATTTAGTTTGGTTACAATTGAAGCTGCAGCAAATAAATTTTCTAAAGGAAACAAAATAGGAAAAGAAGGATTTAGTTAAAAATTGAGGACCAAATCAAAAAATTTTTTTTTTAATGTACAGGCTTGTTTGAGTTGACAAAATTCAGGCCAAGTCCAATTCCTTCATTTTTTTTTTCCTGTTGGAATTAAACCCCTTGCCCGGTGCCCACTTCCCACGCACCATGCGCGCACAGTTCACACTCAATCTAGTCAGCAAGGTAGCACCCACCCTCAGACGAGTCCGGTTTGCTCATAGACCGTCTAAATTTTAATTTAAATGGTTTAAATTTTTTTAATTTTAATTTTATAAAAATAAAATTTATAAATTTTTTTGATAAATATATTTATTATTAATCTGGATATATTCATCATCAATCTGAATAGTACTGATTAAATTTAGATGGTTTAATTTAATGTTGTAATTTTCATAAATTAACTGAATATACTCTGAACAATCCAAATTCAACATTTTTTTATCTGTAAGGCTTAAATTTTTATTTTTATTTTATTTTATTAAAATAAAAATTATTTAAAAAATTTAATATTAAATTTATCTTATTTAGAGTACATCTAGATAATCAGCTTATAAAAATTATAATATTAAATTAAATCATGTAAAGTCTTAAATTAAATTAGTACTATGAATATATTTATTAAAAAATTATTAATTTTATTTTTATAAAATTAAAATTAAAAAATATAAAAATATTTTATAAAATTAAAATTAAAATTAAAAAAATATAGACCATTTAAATTAAAATCTGAACGGTCTACGATGCGGTGCTCGTCGAGCCGCTGAGCACCGAAACCGAACTCCCACTCAGGCTCAGTCTCAGCCCTCAGTCCTCACTCCTCAGACAGGACAGACGGGGTCACGGAGAGGACTCGTGAAATGAAAACCCTTCCCATCACCCAGCTCGCCCGCCATCGCTGCTCGCCCAGCTCAATCTCTCCATTCTAGCTTCCTTCTTCTTCACTTCAATCACTTCAATGATGACCGACTTTGAGAGAGAGACAAAAATCGAAACCCTTCCGCACCTTCTCTGCCTTCTTTCTCGTTCGTAACCGATGACCGTGACAGTGCCGAAATCCTCCCACTCCTCCTCTGTCCGAGCAACTATGGGTGTTCGTGTAGTCATGCGTCTTCTCCGATCTACTCTGTTTTGCTCTTCCTTGCTCTATGTCGTTCTCTGATCTCTGTCCCTGTCCATGTAATCGTGCCTCGTGGGTGTTCAGGCCTCCCTCTGAAGTCATGTGTGCTCTTCCCTGCTCTGCATCAACTGGATTCCCTTAGCCTTCTCTTATCTCTTGTTTAGATGGGAAGAGAAGTTAAAAAAAAAAAAAGTTATTATTTATGTTTGAATGGACACTAAAAAATAGATAGAAAAGAAAATAAATAAATTTTATAATGATTATAATACCTTTATATTAGTATATAGCATATTTTATGTAATTATTTTTATAAAATAAATTAAAATAATAAATTATATTAAAATTAACATCATCAAATTAATTTAAAATCAAATTAGTTATTAAAAAAAATAGAAAGTTAAAGATGCAAATTTTGTTTCTATTTCTTAAAATCAAATTCATTATATTAAAATCAACATCATCAAATTAAATTATATTAAAATTAGTTGTTAAAATTAAACTAGTTCTTGAAAACTAAAGACACAAATTTTTATGGAGATTAAAATCTAATTATTTTTAAGGAATTAATGTGGTTGAAGTAGGCAAAAGAGGAAGAGAGAGAGAGAGAGGGGATGGTAAGTAATGGAAGTAAGAGTTTACTCTCAAAATTTCTTCACCTTTAAGGAGAAAAGTTGGGAAGAAAATACGGTAAGTCCCATATCTCATTTTCTTTTTAACTTTTCTTTTCTCTCACTTTTTCTTTTTCATCCAAACAAGAAAAAATGCATTTTCTCTCTTGTTTTTCTTTCATGTTTTCTTTCCTCCCACGTTTTCTCTCCAACTAAATAGAGCATTAATGATTTCGTCTTATCTAATCTGAACGTGCTTTGTCTTAGCCTTTCAAAGTATCTTTTGGTTGTGTACATCAAAATTTCATTTAAAGGCATGATCTAGATATTTTTTGTTAGATGATTATGATGAGTGCAACCTCTAGCATTTGTTGTTACTTGTTAGCATGGAGTTCTCTATTCTCATAACGTGTTACAGCTGCTCTAGCATATCAATTTGTTGGATTATATTGAATGAGAGTTTCATTTAATATTTTAAATCTAACGATCAATAATCCAGTTGATTTTAGTAAATTCTCTTCTGTAGGATAATATATTCTTTTATGTGATATGAATTTTATGTGTAAGTTGAACTATCATAATGTGTTGAAGCTTAGCATTTTGATATTTTGGTGTCTGTCATGTTTTAGTTTACTTAAGTAATTTTCTTGTTCTTTGCTTAATACCTAATGTTTTCCCAAGACACCTAAGTTTTCAAGATGTTAATTGATTTTTATCATTACAGCTGTTTGATTGTTTTTGCATTTCTAATGTTCCATTATTGGCTAATTGATTTTATTTAATTATATTGTGTGCCCCAATTATTTGTAGTAAAATATGCAATTCATAACAAGATTAATAAACTTGTGCTCCATTTTTGCTTCTAGAAGAACTTTGTGAATGAAATCCCACCTTAGTCTGTCATAGGCTTTCTCCAAATCTATCTTCATCGCCATGAATCCTCTCTTTCCTTTGCTTTATACATCTTATGCATTATTTCTTGCCCTACCATGATATTGTCTTGTGTAACATCCTGATTTTTTTAAAAATGATAATAATAGGAATTTATATTATTTGAGATTATTCAGAAATAATAATATGGTTAGAAATTTAATTATGAATTAAAAAATATAGGTTTAAAATTTCATAAAAATGTTTAGTTAAGATATAATTTTTAAGATTTAGAATATATAAATATTATTTTTTTATGTGTGTATGAGTAAAAAAAAGGGTTGAAGCAAAAAAAAAAAAGAGGTGGGAGTTGAAGAGGGAAAATTTCCTCAACTATAAAAGGAGGCAATTGCGTGCATAGGGGAGAGGCAAGGAAAGTTTATGCAATTTGTGAAAATTGCAACTAAGGGTTCAAGATGTAATTTGTGAAAATTGCAAGTAATGACCTAAAAGTTTGAATAATTAAATTCAAACCTATAATTTTTTTTAATATAATTTTGGGACCCACAATCCCATTTTTATATTATTTTTTTCTCTTCCTCTCATGTTGCTCGGCGTTTTCTCGCAAGGGAGAATTATTTTCTTTTTCTTCAGGTATGTTCCAACTTTCCTGTTTAGATTAGCATTTAAAAAATTATTTAAGTACAAAATTAATTTTATAGTTATTTTATAAATAATATTAGATTTCTAGTGATATGATTATTTTGTAGAATAGAGTAAATATTCTGATTAGGATTTCTCCATAGGATAGTTAATCTGATGATATGATGAATTAAAAAATAGGTTAATCTCTTAGGGATATAATAAATATTATAGAATATTTTCTTGAGGTTGAAACTCATGTTTAAGAATTTTTGAGTTAAAGTCTAGATCTATATGGTTGAATTTATGTTGAATTTGAGATGT